CAAAGAAATTTAAGAAAGTCGATTTTAGGCCTATGCTAGCATGGTAGCCCACTGTGCAGCAACAATTTTTTTTTTTTATTTGAAAATTCAATTAATCATTATATATATAAATCAAGCGTTACATTTCAGCCATGCAAAATTACAATGACATATTTTGATATACTAAATGATAAATGGTACTGCAATATAAGTTGCTTAATGTTTGGCCGGATGACAACTAACGAGAAAAATAAACTTGATTATATAATAATTAATTCGGCTGAACCAACACATAGCAAGAGCCACATTAACGTTGGGGCCGTCTACCAAATTTGAATGACAAACATTAACAAGAAATCAAACATATCATAAATAATTATAAGGATTTTGTTCATTACAATTCCGTCACAACTGATAAAGTAAAAAGAAGGGACAAGCAGATAGGAAATTGGACGGACAGAATTGTAACCAACAAAAACAAATTTCTGAGACTCATAAGACTGATGAGCTAATCTGGCCAGACTGTATCGGCAGCCCAGAGGTACTTGATCAGTTTGGCCTTAAAAGTAGAAATCCGCTCTGACTGCCGGATACATACTGGTAGACTATTCCATTTCAGCATAGATCTATGAAAAAAGCTATTTCGGAAGGCATCCGAGCAGGGCACAGTGGTACTCATGTAAGTTGAAGTATCCGACATATCAATTATTTGAGCATTGTGCCTAGTGTATCGGGTGCCCTCTGGACGGCATAGGACTATATATGTAGGGAGCGAAACTGGAATTATGCTATTTACTATTTTATAGAAGGTCATAAGATCGTTATAAATAAACTTCTGTTTAACAGGGAGAATATTTAGTTTCTTTTGCTCTGTAGCAAGTTTATCGTCATTATAACTGGAGTAAGGTTCACCATTGATCCATTTAATAGCCCTCTTTTGGATAGCAACAAACTGTTGAAGATGAGTTGCAGATTGAGGGGACCATATGACAGAGCAATGTTCAAATATAGACCTAATTAACGATAAATAGAAGGATCTTTTCTGCCTTTTATCAGTAGTGAAATGACATGTTCTCTTAAGTAGTCCAAGTCTAGAGGTAGCTTTGGAAACAAGCGCTTTACATTGTGCACCCCAATTAAACCTGGAGTTTATTGCGACTCCTAAATCTGACTGAGAGGGCACAAAGTCAATATCACTTCCAGAAAGTTTATAAAAGAAGGCATTGAATGGCAAGTTATCCAGCACGTTTCTTTGCAGGGACACAGAGAGGGCTTTGCACTTTTGTGGGTGGAACTTCATTCGATTTCTCACTGACCAATCATATAATCTATTGATGTCATTTTGGATTATGTGATGGTCAGGATAACCAAGAATCTCCCTCCAAATTTTAGTGTCATCTGCAGGAATTAAACAGGAATTAAACAGGAATTAAACAAAATTGGGTCAAACGGCAGATGCCGTGTCTGACCAATATAGGAATAGAAGGTTTAATATTCAAAACTACCCCAATGTAACAAATAACCAAACAAGGTGGTAAAAGTAGATAGCCATGTAAAAGAATAAAGCACAGATAGCACAGTCGTATGCAGAAAAAACTCAGCCAAGAGCACTCAACAATGACAAAGAAAGTATCATACAATGTCCACACACTTATCAAAATATACAAAACACGACATTCATTCAGTATTTTTCTTCGGGAACCTCCGTTCATCGACCTTATTTAAAAACCGTCCAATGTCTCTAATAGTTGTTGAGTCGTCGAAGATTTCTCCCGGTTCTTCTCTCATTACTAACAGGTCCCTCGTTCGTTGATGCAGGTTTTTGCGTAGGTCTTCGTATAGGGGGCATTCGTAGAGGATGTGATGCTCATCTTCTATCACTGGATAGGCCCCTGGTAGCTCATAGAGAAGATCTAACAAGTCATCGTCATTTGAGCAGCAATGTCTGCAGGCCCGATGTTTTATGTTAAACCGCTTTTTGCCGTAGCGACCAGTTTCAACGTTAAAGCGGTGGGAGCTGCTTCTGAATTGCGCGATCTTCTTTGAGCAGTTAGGTTTAAGATCAAGGGCTAGATACGTCTCTTGAGCAAACTTTCTCTTCACTAAGTTGTAGAATGATAGTTTTCTGTTAGATGTCCTTTCTGTTTCCCATGAGTTTATAAACCACTTTTGCAAACTCTTTCTAATCTGGCTTGGTCTTAATCCTTGGTTTCTCTCTGATGCCTCGATGGTTTCTTGCATCTGCTCGAGAGTGGAGAACCAGCTCAGGTTTAGGGTCGCCTGCTCTTCGAAAGCGTGTCTAGCAAAGCAGTCACGACCGTCTACAACCATTTGTTCAAGTCTTTCTTTGTAGTTAAACACTTGCTTTGATAGCGTGATGCCTAGTGGATGCCTGCCTGTGTCACCCCATATCGCAGCATTGGATGTTGACTTCCTCACCCCTAAGGTCCATTTCAAAAGAGACAAATGAAAGTTCTCTAGAGGGTCCCTGGCAATGAGTGTACACACGTTTCCTGTTTCTGGTGTGGTGCTCGTGTTTGTGGGGAAGTTGCGGAACAGAGCTGTGCTTGGCAGCCACACTTGGCAACCATACGACACCACAGGTACAATAAGTGTATCATGTAGCTTGAACAGTATAGATTTCCTGATGTGGCGGGTATCAATGTAGCTTTTCAAAGAGAAATAACTTCTTAATGCTTTTTGCCTCAGCTTTTGTTGTGTTAGCTTAAGTGATCCGCTCAGAGTAAATGTAATGCCAAGGTAACAGTACTCTCTCCCGGAGGGGATCTGTTGTTCTCCCAGTTTGAACTCATGACTTTCCTTCAGATGCCTTCCTGTTGGGTTAAACACAAGGACTGAAGTTTTTCCAATGTTTACTGTCAGGCCCCATTCTGAGCAGTAATTGTTTAGGACATCAAGCATTTGTTGAAGACTGTGTTTGTTGAGGGCTAGAAGGACAAGGTCGTCTGCCCATAGCAGATGAGTTATATCTGTATCATTTAGGACAGGGACTTTCACTCCTTCGATGTTGTTGAGATCATGTGAAAGCTGGTGGACAAAGCATTTAAACAGTTCAGGGGACATGGGGTGTCCTTGCTCGGTACCACATAATATGTCGATCTTCTGTGACAGCTTGTCTAGTAGCTTCACTTTGGCTGAGGAGTTTGAGTACATGAACTTAATGCACTCAAAGAATCTCCCTTGAATACCCATTTTCCACAACTTGTATAGGAGTGCCTCACGACAGATGGAATCAAACGCTTTGGCATAATCGACAAAGCATGTGTATAGCCTTTGGCGTTTCTTGGTGACATACTTTTCCACGCAGGTTGAAAGTGTGAAAATGTGGTCTGCTGTCTGTGCGTCTTTACAGAAACCTAGTTGGTTGGCTGTATCAGGATCACATTGATCACGGAATGATATCAATCTTTTCAGCAATATGCTTGCAAAGAGCTTTCCGAGATTGCTCGCTACAGCGATGGCTCTGTAGTTGTTTGGATCATAGATATCACCTTTTTTGTGTAGTGGTGTAACTACTGATGAAGTCCATGGGTAAATTGATAGGCTTAGGCAGTGGTTGAAGAGGTTGAGGACTGCTTTGAGCATGGATCGTGTTGAGGCTTTGAAGAATTCATTAGAAATTAGATCTTCGGAAACTGCCTTTCCTTTTTTAGTGGCCTTAATGCAAGCACACAGCTCTTCCATCTTTATATCTTGATCCAAAAGCTTGGTCAGGTCGTCACAAATGTTGTTTTTCTGCATCTTTGACTGTAGCTCTGCGATCTTAGAGTCTTTGATGTTCTTTTTGCCGTAAAGTTCACTGAAGAACTTGCAAAAGTTGATCATATCGAAGGCATCAAGACTGGTTGCAGGCGATTTTGTATTTTTAAGAGCTTTGAAGGATTTCCAGCAGATGTTGTTCCCTGTTTCTATGTCCTTGCAAAGCTTCTCAAAGAATTCTGATCGCTTATGTCTGATCATCTTTCTATATTGTCGCCGAGTGTCGTAATAAGAGTCCCTGAGGAGCTTGTCCAATGGGGATCTTCCATACTTTTTTGCTAGGATGTTGAGTGTCCTCTTAAGACGGATACATTCACTGTCAAACCATGCCATTTTTGGCTTTATTCGACTCTTCTTTTTGGTGCTACCATATTTATTATGTCTCGGCCCTTTCTGACGACTTGAGGCGTTTTTTCGGGGCATCACTTGTTCAGCAACCTGATGATACAGCTCAACAATTTGGTTGTTAAGGTTAAGAACGTCTTGAGGGGTTTTGCATGAACTTGTAGCCAGAGTTTCTGTCTTTTCCTTTATACTAGGGTCACCCATAGCTAGCAAGAATTTGAGCTCAGCATTATCCTCACATGGCCATTTGTACTTCCTGGGCGCGTCCTCGAGGTCACGAAGTATTTCTTCTGAAAGGGTTATGTTGTGTCTCAGGCTAAGTGTTGTGACAGAGGGTTTGTGATCGGAGAATTTGTTCAAATCAAGGACTCTAAAACTCTTAACGATCGCTTTTATGTCAGCTCCTACAGCAACATAGTCTACAACGCTAGCTCCGCCATAATTCACCGATGTGAATTCCCCTAAGGAATCGCCAAGTACGCTGCCGTTTAGGATGGTTAGATTTGCACAGGCCAGAAAGTCAAGGAGTAACTTTCCTCTAGGATTAACCATCTGGTCCTTGCTAGAACGATCATTGAGACAGGGGTGGCTGCGTTGGCTAAATGGGTTTGCAGCAGATAATGCTTCAGTATCTTCCTCGATGGTGTTGTTCAAGGTTGCAGTCCTTGCATTGAAATCACCTGCTAGTATCACCTTCCTACCGTTTTGAATACTATTCATGGTGAAGTCAAGTAAGTTGTCTAGAGTTGAAGCATCGTCATCGGATGTACTTTTGCTTGATTTCAATCTCTTCTTGTAGGAAGAGTGCTCAGGGGAGTCGTATAAGTTTATGATAATTAATCTGTTGTTCTCCCAGTTTGAACTCATGACTTTCCTTCAGATGCCTTCCTGTTGGGTCATAATAAATCGACAAAGCATGTGTATAGCCTTTGGCGTTTCTTGGTGACATACTTTTCCACGCAGGTTGAAAGTGTGAAAATGTGGTCTGCTGTCTGTGCGTCTTTACAGAAACCTAGTTGGTTGGCTGTATCAGGATCACATTGATCACGGAATGATATCAATCTTTTCAGCAATATGCTTGCAAAGAGCTTTCCGAGATTGCTCGCTACAGCGATGGCTCTGTAGTTGTTTGGATCATAGATATCACCTTTTTTGTGTAGTGGTGTAACTACTGATGAAGTCCATGGGTAAATTGATAGGCTTAGGCAGTGGTTGAAGAGGTTGAGGACTGCTTTGAGCATGGATCGTGTTGAGGCTTTGAAGAATTCATTAGAAATTAGATCTTCGGAAACTGCCTTTCCTTTTTTAGTGGCCTTAATGCAAGCACACAGCTCTTCCATCTTTATATCTTGATCCAAAAGCTTGGTCAGGTCGTCACAAATGTTGTTTTTCTGCATCTTTGACTGTAGCTCTGCGATCTTAGAGTCTTTGATGTTCTTTTTGCCGTAAAGTTCACTGAAGAACTTGCAAAAGTTGATCATATCGAAGGCATCAAGACTGGTTGCAGGCGATTTTGTATTTTTAAGAGCTTTGAAGGATTTCCAGCAGATGTTGTTCCCTGTTTCTATGTCCTTGCAAAGCTTCTCAAAGAATTCTGATCGCTTATGTCTGATCATCTTTCTATATTGTCGCCGAGTGTCGTAATAAGAGTCCCTGAGGAGCTTGTCCAATGGGGATCTTCCATACTTTTTTGCTAGGATGTTGAGTGTCCTCTTAAGACGGATACATTCACTGTCAAACCATGCCATTTTTGGCTTTATTCGACTCTTCTTTTTGGTGCTACCATATTTATTATGTCTCGGCCCTTTCTGACGACTTGAGGCGTTTTTTCGGGGCATCACTTGTTCAGCAACCTGATGATACAGCTCAACAATTTGGTTGTTAAGGTTAAGAACGTCTTGAGGGGTTTTGCATGAACTTGTAGCCAGAGTTTCTGTCTTTTCCTTTATACTAGGGTCACCCATAGCTAGCAAGAATTTGAGCTCAGCATTATCCTCACATGGCCATTTGTACTTCCTGGGCGCGTCCTCGAGGTCACGAAGTATTTCTTCTGAAAGGGTTATGTTGTGTCTCAGGCTAAGTGTTGTGACAGAGGGTTTGTGATCGGAGAATTTGTTCAAATCAAGGACTCTAAAACTCTTAACGATCGCTTTTATGTCAGCTCCTACAGCAACATAGTCTACAACGCTAGCTCCGCCATAATTCACCGATGTGAATTCCCCTAAGGAATCGCCAAGTACGCTGCCGTTTAGGATGGTTAGATTTGCACAGGCCAGAAAGTCAAGGAGTAACTTTCCTCTAGGATTAACCATCTGGTCCTTGCTAGAACGATCATTGAGACAGGGGTGGCTGCGTTGGCTAAATGGGTTTGCAGCAGATAATGCTTCAGTATCTTCCTCGATGGTGTTGTTCAAGGTTGCAGTCCTTGCATTGAAATCACCTGCTAGTATCACCTTCCTACCGTTTTGAATACTATTCATGGTGAAGTCAAGTAAGTTGTCTAGAGTTGAAGCATCGTCATCGGATGTACTTTTGCTTGATTTCAATCTCTTCTTGTAGGAAGAGTGCTCAGGGGAGTCGTATAAGTTTATGATAATTAGTTCATCGACAGCACTCTCACTTCCTAGTTTTATCCTTACTGATTGGATGTCACTACAATTGGATGTTATTTCTTTGATATCCTTGGCAATAGACCTGTGGACACCAATGCAAAGTCCTCCTGAGCGACTGTTTGGTCTGTTAGCATTAAAACATTTGTAGTCTGGAACAAATATTTTACTCTTGGTTTCCTGAAGACAGAAAATGGGACAAGAAGTGACGATGGCAGCAAATTCAGTATCATCAATTTTCCTGCCTTCTTTCCCGTTTGAAGCATCGTGTATGTTCCACGAAAGGATTTTCAATGTCTCTCTGTTGTGGGAAGGCAATCTGATCAGGACATCAGTTGTTTTGGGACTATCCATTATGGTTTTTCTTCTGTTGAGGTTTGATTGAGTTTTTAGTCCCTCTTGATAGCTCAATGTCGAGAGATCTAAATAGCCCGTCACGGAGATGAAGCCACAATTTCCGAGCCCCTCGTTCATCGAGACCCAACAAGACTCCGTGTGGTCCTACGCTGCGCTGGATGAATCCTCCGAGATTGTCATTGTTTTGCGTGCATATTTTTATGTCTAGGCTAGCATTATTCTTGGATTTGACGTATTCGCTTAGTTCAGAGTTTATCTGTCTTATGGTACTGCTGACTTGTGGATAGCCGGGGAGTGGAATAATCTGCGAAACACATATCTTTGCTGAGGTTGCTTTTGTTAGGTCATCCAAGATTTTCTTCATACCATCTAGTATCGTGTTTCCTGGCGTATTCATCAGAACATCAAGTTGCCCTAGATGGATATAAATGGCTTCAGGGTTGATTTCTGAGACTTTTTTGACTAAGTTTTGGTCCCTGCTAACTGATACGGCAGTATCATATTCTATCCTCTTGACATCAAAACGTTTCGTGAATCTTGATTCGTCGAAGGTATTGAAGTGTGCGTCGTGAATGACTACACATTTCCGGGTGTGCCAATGTTGAGGATTGAAGTTGTCACGACGGTACGTTTCACGGTTAACAGGGGTGCCATCACTGTTATTTTTGCTTTGTTTATTGGCACCAGCAGTTGTCGTGCTTTTAGTGGTTCCCTCGGACAAAAAGGTGACTGGGTCTTCAGCCTTTTGACTCGGCATATTCTCTTTCTTTCCTTTGTGTGGTGCCGTGCGTTTTTTGTCGTTTGGTCTTGTAAGGGGGTCCTCGGGGGTTTTGTTGGCGGCATCGTTTTGGTGTTTCGGTTCAAAACTATTAGCGCGAGGTTTGTTAGCAGACTGGATGTTACCTTCTTGACCTGCTGTGTTGATTTTAGGCAGATCTTTGAAACACGCTGTAATCTCTCGGCTGATAAGTTCAAACCCTTCTCGTTGTCCTTGGAGAATCTTGTCTCCTAAATTATTCGTAGCGCGTCTATTGAAACTTTCCAAATGACTTAGGATCGCACATTTTTCGTCGACTCCATCATATTGGTTGGGATAATTGACCCCGTTCGAATGACTTCCGGGTACACTCTTCATCCCCATGATATCGGATTTGAGTTTGCTGAGTTCTTCGCTGTGTCTAGCCTGTATTATGCGTATCTCATTGAATTGGTTCGGCTCGTTGTTTTTCATTCTTGCGAGCTCGCTTTTTAAGTAGTTAACCTCCTTGGCTGAATCAGCTATCTGTTTTTCAAGTTCAAGGGTCTTGGATCGAAAAACCTTTTCTGCCGTTGCTCTGTGAGCTTGGTCTTGGATACGTTTCCGTTCTTTTTCTCCTTCTATCATTCTGTCCATGATATTGTCGATAGAGTTTTGCTGAATATTTAGGGTATCAAATATTGTTTTGTTTTTGTTGACCAGCGTGGCTAGAGATTTCGAGCTGGTTAGTGGGGCGCTGGAGTTGAGTTGACTGGCTAAGGAGGACAGAACTGAATCTTGGTTTGCTAGATTTTCTTGGAATTCTAGTAAGTTCTGCTCAAGGAGTCGTATTGAGTTTTCTATCGATTCGTGGGTGCTGCAAGGGACCTTAATTTTGCCGGGGGTTAAGATCTGTCTTGCTTTCCTCGTCTTCTTAACTTTGATCTTTACTTTCTTTTCTGTATTCTGCGTCTTGCCCTGTGCACTGTTACTGGAGCTGTTGTTCGAGTTACAGCTTTTGTAGCCCTTTCTGCTAGAGGCATTGCTGAGTTCAGAAGATATTGACTCAGAGTCAGTCTCAGAGTTAATGAGATCTGGAGGATTTGCCTTTCTAGCTTCGCGCCCAATAGTGTTGACGTGGTCACGCAGCAGTTTCTTTTTATTGTCAACAGGAGTTTGCGGGTTGAAGTTTATTTCAAACCTTTTGAGTTCTCGATCTAGCGAATCAACTGCCATTTTCTCGACCAGACTAGTTATGAGAGGTGCTGACGGGTACGTGCTGTATTTGTTGTCAATCACAAGGATAAAAAACGCTTTAATTGCAGTTTGACTTCGCTCGTTTGTTTTCTGACTGGTTAGGCCACAAAGGTCTATCCACTTGTTGAGATTCTTAGACGAGGCACTGTTAAGAATCTTGTCGCAGGTATCTCTCGAGAAAAATCGCAGTTGTTTTTCAACAATGGTGGTGTCGTCTTGTTTAACTTGTGAGTCGGGCAGACTTCCGTTGTCACCCTCACAATGAAGTTGTTCAGGGGCGGGGACGTTGCTTGCTAAACCAGTTATCCCTTGTACTGCGTCAGTTAGGGGACTACAGTGGGTGTTTTCGGGAGCTGGTTGGAGAACAATTGGCGTCCTGTGTCGTTTGCGTTGCAGTTGTACTAGTAAGTGAAAATCTAGTTCATCCTCGAGGGGTTTTTCTATAGCCAGGCTAATGCTCATATCCCTTCTGGTCTTTTCTAGGACGGATAAGGCTGTAAGGTTGCCTAGGCATAGGTCAAAGACATCCATCAGGTCGTTGTTGAATCTCTTTGGTATGATGTTAACTGCACGCTCTCGGCCTAAATGGAGTAACACTAGTGCATCAGTGACTTCTTCGTCTCCCTGTAGTGTGATAGGAACCTTGTCGCTCCTTCCAAGTAGACTAGTAACTCTGAGCGAGTTAAAGGCAGTGGAGGGCGATTCCAGGTTTGTGTCGTGGTAATGACGATTGAGTTTAACCAGCAATTTTGACAGAATATCTGCCTTATCATCATTTTCAATAGCCTCTATGTCTGACAGGTTCCAGGTTAAGCTGATGCATTTGCTGTGGGCTTGTTGCTCAAGGAGGTGTACTTCAGACGCGAATAATCTGGTTGATTGGTATTTCTCATTGAGAGCATTTTCGCAGCGACAAGATTGACTGGCGTGACGATCTCATCATCTTTAAGGAAATCTTGTTTAATATGGATCAGCGTGTTCCTACCTGGAGAGCAGTCATGGTACCCTTCGTCGTCAATTCTGATACACTCGAGTTTGCGGGGTGACTCAAAGAGGTCCTGTGAGTCAGCTGCGGATTCAGAGAGGTACCGTCTTTTAACGGGCGTGTCACTTGCAAACTCATACTCAGTCTGTGCTCTGAGCTTCCTTTTCAAAATCGCAGAAGGTTGCTCATGTTGAAAGATACTCCCTACAGACTTGCTCCTTGAACGAATTTGAAGAGTTCGTGAACGAGGTGAGAGCAAGTGTTCATGTTTAGGGCTGTGTAAAAGAACAGGAGTAATCGTTGGTTTTCCTGTTCCTGTATAGTATTCACCGTCTGTATTCGGGTCGTTTTGTTTCTTGACGGGGGTAATCTCGATCGTTGGCAGTGGTCTGGGTGGCTTGCTTCTGGGTTTCGGGGTTATAACGAGATCACCTCCTTTACCTAGGGATATACTCACGCTAAGATCGATTGTATCGTCTAAATCTAAATCCGAGCTGATTGAGTGGTTGCCGAATAAGGACAGATTTCCCAGAGTTTCAAATAACTGTTGCGATATTCTTCCTAAAATGGTCTTGTCCAGCATTTCGACTTTCCCTGTTGGGGGGATCGGACTCACACACAACGGTGGGTTGATCGGTTCGGAGTCTGATTCACATCTACTGAGGATCTTCGTTTTGCTTCGCTCCTCACCGTCCTCGCCGTCTTCGTCATCATCATTGTTTGATTGGGAGCTTCCTGGGTTTGACTTTCTAACAAGGCCAACTCGTGCTGTAGCACGATTGGTTCTGTCATTAGACGTAGATTTCGAAGCTTGGCTGCCGGATGAAGAGGAGGACTTGTCATCATCGCCTTTAGAGGTCCTCTCTGAATCTGACAGGGATGTCGAGGGATATTGGGTTAGTGATTGCTCCCGGCTAGCAGCTGTCGTGTGAAACTCTGACTCTGTGTCAGGTATTGGTACAACACACACATGCGAGTAGTGGTGTATACATGTTTTGACGTTGTTTGGCGAAAGAGCGGTCAAAAGCAAATGAGGACGCAATACAGGCAAGAAAGGACAATCTCTTGACAAATGAGTATTCGGTTTCGGACAGACTAGTAGGTAGCAGTGCGACTGATTGTGTTCGCGAACTGATATTACGTATCTGCACTGGTTTACACAGACAGTTGAACTGCAGATAGCGCGATTAGTTAGCATATCACGTGACGTGTTGGTATCGGTGTTGATTTGCATGTCACGTGACATACTGGTTGCATCGCGCTCAGAAGTTGGGTTCAAGTTTCTGATGATGGGGAGATAGCGTGCCGCACACTTCTCACATAGCATGTATATCCGATATTATACATAGTGTGTAATGTATAAGGCTGCTGCTGCTGAGCAGCATCTGCTCTCCCGGAAATAGCGGTTAATTTAGCAGGGTAAGTATTGCTAAATTCCCCGCTTGTTGAGAGGTGGTTAGCACAGGCTACCATTTCGGAGCTCAGGGTGCGAGAGGCCAGCTGTTCTGGCCTGCGCCGCGGAACGTTTTTACCAGTGTCAGAGCTTACTTTAAGATTTGCTTTTTCTAAGCAGTAAGCTAGACACATCATGATGTTGGTAATTTTGTTAGCAGCACATATTATGTAAATAGCAAAATAGAACGTGTACACACAGGCGGATAACTCAGTGTAAAATATTACACATAAAGCACTGCACACATGTGTGTGGAAAATGTGGAGTGTAACAAGAGCATAAAATGATCTCGAAACTTCCGCCTTACTCATGGTCATTTTGCAAGGACTCAGCTGCTCATTATCTTGTGTCCCCTTTCTCCTTGCTGTAGTCTCCTTGCTGCTGTTGCTGTAGATTAGCTTTTCACATGTTGTTGTGTTTCCAGCTTCACTTGTCCTCGGAGAGTTGGAAAGTGTGGTTAGTTTGTGAAACAAAGAACAAGGAATTTTACTGGCACTGGGATCGCAGGTTTGTAGTAGTGATAGTGGTTCAACAGCAGGGGGGTTAAATGATGGGGGAAGCTTACA